GACAAGTGAGCATCTCCAGCGCTGCATCCATTTGTTGAAACATCTCACTTGGTATTCCATCAATTCCTGGAGCCCTGTTTTTTGTCAATGCCTTCAGTGCAGCTTGGACCTCTTCCTTCAGTATCATTGGTTCTTAATCATATGCTACCATTTTCTTCTGAAATAGTTGAACGTCAACCAATTCTTTTTGGTATAGTGACTCTGTGTATTCCTTCCATCTTTCTTGATGCTTCCTGTGTCGTTTAATATTTTTCCCATAGAATCCTTCAATATTGCAAGTTGAGGCTTGAATTTTTTCTTCAGTTCTTTTAGGTTGAGAAATGCCAAGCATGTTCTTTACTTTTGTTTTTCTATTTCCAGGTCTTTGCACATTTCATCATAATACTTTACCTTGTCTTCTTGAGCTGTCTTTTGAAATCTTCTGTTCAGTTCTTTTACTTCATCATTTCTTCCTTTTGCTTTAGCTACTCTATAAAGGATAGAGACTAGAAAATCAAAATTATTTCTAGAATCAGCACAAATCCTAAGGCTTTCTTTTATAGGAGGATACAAGGAAAGGGAGTCCTGGTAGCACTGTGGTTAAGCACTCGGCTGCTAACTGAAAGGTCAGCAGTTCGAACCCACCAGGTGCTCCACAGGAGAAAGATGCAGCAGTCTGCTTCTGTAAAGATTACAGCCTTGGAAACCCTAATGGGCAGTTATATTCTGTGCTATAGGGTCACTATGAGTCAGAATAGACAGCATACAACAACAACAACACAAGAGAGAATTCAGCATGGCCCTCACAAAGTTGAAACTGTCTTATAGGCAGCTCCCAACAAATAAAATGGTTCGCTCTCTCAGGAGTTCCTGGGTGGTGCAAATGGTTAAGTGCTGGGCTACTAACTGAAAGCTTGGTGGTTTGAACCCACTGAAGGCACCTCAGAAGAAAGACCTGGTGATCTGCTTTCAAAAGGTCACAGCCATTGAAAACCTGATGGAGTGTAGTTCTACTCTGGCATACCTGGGGCCTCCAGGAGTCAGAATTAACTTGACAGCAACTGTTTTTTTTATTGCCGTTGTTCCTTTTTTATTGCTGTTGTTCTCTCTCATGTATATATGTATAATCAGCATAACTTCACTTCCTTAAAATTCCAGCCTTGGAAACACAAAATAGTTTCAGTCACTGGATACAAACAGAATGGTTTGTTACCTCGACAAAAAAACTCTAGCTCCACTAACATGCAGCAAATAATTGTTGGGGTTAAGTTGTTTTTTGTTTTTTTTCCTGATATTTTGTTTCCCATCTTCTAGGGGAAAAAATAATGTACTGAAAAAAGAAAAAAGAAAAAAAAAAAAAAACCTTTGGCTTGGGTTATGGGTCTTACCCTACTTAAATATCTTTGTCATGCTGCTGGCTTACAAGAAACCATAAGGGCCATTTGTGTCCAAGGCTCAAGAAACCCAAAGACTGGTGATAAAGAAAACCAGGAGTGAAACAAAAGTGAGATCTAATCTCCAGGATATTTCTAGAGACCTGGAAAGACAGAAAATATAAGTGCTAGGAGCCAGGACATTTTGTCACTGATATCTCCAAGTAATAATCTTTGTTGATAAATGCCCAGAAACAGTAATCAAGGGATAATGCTTTCAAAGGAATGAAAGATAAGGCCTGCATTCTGGATCCAGCCAAAGCCTGAATGTTTAAAAGGCTAGGGAGGAGGGGTCATTTACATGAAAACCAAAGTCCTGAAAGCTAAAAGCTCTTTGATAACATAATAGCAGATTTAAGGCACAGCTAGTTAAGCTAGGTTTTGCATACATTTTAAATTCATGGACATATCTACCAGAAATTGAATGATATAAAATTATAACCCTGAATGAGCAAAAAAAAATTTTAAATCAGATCAAGAGAATAAAAAAATCAATAAAATACAAAGAAATGATTGTGACTGCTTTTTGAGAAAATAGTGTGTTAACAGATGATAGGGAAAAAACAAAATTTCTGCACTCATTTTTCCTGGAAAGAATGGAATGGATACTATTATGAGGAAATTGAAGAACAAGATAGGATAGACAATAGTGGGCAAATAATTACTCTTTAATCTAGTGAGATTGTCCCCCAGAGTATTGAAAGGATTTGTTCATGCCATGATAGAATCAATTTCTTAATCTTTTAATAATCACAGAAATGGGAGATCAGCCAAAAAATGTGGAATGATAACATCTGGAACTTTATTTAAAATGTGATTTTAAGGAACTGTACAATATAGTAAGTTTGACACTGATCTACCATAAAATTTTAGACTTGATCATTAAAAAGATAATTTGTGAGCCAACTTAGTTTTAATGACCAATATTCCTAGAGTAGGATGGGAATACAGAGGCATTCTGGTCTCTAACTCTACTTAGGACATTAGGGAAGGTTTCCTGGAGACAGTGAGACTTAACAGGAGAATGCTATGGACAAGTAATTTGACAAGGTAAACAAGGAGGAAAGATAAGAGCTGTATGATGATTACGATAAGGAGCCCTTGTGGTTAATTGAAGAAGTGCAATGAGAGTTAAATTTTTGAAGAACTCTTCAGTTTAACTTTGACCTTGAGAGGTTAACATTTTTACATAGAGCTTGAATGAAGATATCCGTACAATGTTGTTGTTTTTTAGCTGCCATTGAGTCAATTCCGACTCACAGCGACTCTGTGTGCAGGGTAGAACTGCTTGACAGGGTTTTCAAGGCTGTGAACTTTCAGAAGTAGGGCCTATCTTCCGAGGCACCTCTGCGTGGGTTCAAATCACGAAACTTTCAGTTAGTAATCAAGCACTTAACTGTTTGTGCCATCCAGGGATTCCTTCCATTAGACTGCTAACATAGTGAATGAGTGTAGCAGTGGTACATTGACAGGGTGGGGTGCTCCTTTTCTACTTAAAACTCTTCAATGGCTTCCCATTGCTGTTAGGATAAATACATACTCTTTCATTTGACCCACAAGACCATGCATGGTCCAACCCTCGCTAATTCTTGTACTATCTGGCACCATTCTCCTCTTGCTCTTTATTGCAGCCGGAGCAGCCTCCCTCCAGTTCCCCACGGACTACTAAAGAAAGGACTTCTTCATTGGGTGAGAGTTGAGAACTCGTGAACTTTTCTTCATTTAAGTAAATGACTATGTATATGTTAAATACGAACCACGTATTTTCCATGGGGTACCTAATTTCACTGGTTAAAAAAAAAAAAAAAACTTTGCCATTGAGTCAATTCCAACCATAGTGACCCTACAGGACAGAGTAGAATTGCCCCATAGGGTTTCCGAAGCTGTAATCTTTACGGAAGCAGACTGCCACAAGTTTCTCACAATTCCACTGGTAATAGAGATATTAATTATGGATACTCTTAACTATGAGGTGTTTCAGTTCTTCCAAAGCACAGCCTGAATTTTACGAGAAAAAGAAAGGTTACCTGTAACTCCCTGCTGTATTTTCACACGTGGCTCCATTCTGGCAGCTCAAGGGTGTTCCAGAATAAATCTGGCATTCATTAACATCATCTGAGCAGAGAGGACCCTGTGTTCATATAAAAACTAAACTCAGTTGCCAGGAGTCACAGGGGCATCTGGAGGCCAATATTCATGAGATACGTTTAAGGATTTGTGCACTGACAGTAATATGTCTTCAGTAAAGCCAAATACAATAATATTAATACTAATATTAATCTCCAGTTATCCTTCCTCTGGAACTCAGATAGGCCTATTAGAACCAAAGAGATTTTCATAAGATCACACCAGTTACATGAGGAGAATCCTTATACAAACTAATCTTCGTTTCACCCTGGTGCTGGGCCTGGGAATACTTATTTAACAAATTAAAAGGAAATGTACACGTTGGGAACATTTTCACCATTATTAGAGGAGGGCAAGAAAATTTATACAGCTATATCACCATTTGTTTAGTACTTTCCAATGGTGAGTCATTTAAATTAATGCCAACAAAAATATCATGCCCTTCCATGTAATTATCCAATAAAGTTAACCCCTCCTTAAGATGGTTTAGTATTCAGTAGGTTATACAATCACGCTTGCTGTTGTTTTGATTTTGGCATGCAGGATGTAATTCATTTTGATTAGGGAGGCCACAGAATCCTAGAAACTTCTGATAAAGAATTAAATATGTGTGAATAATTCCAGGGAAATCACAGCTGCTGACTCACCGTCATTTTTAGCCAAAGACCAAGTGACTCACCTTCCACTGTGATGGACAGATACAAAAAAAGGAATCGTGCAGGTTAAGGCAGGTTCCACCGTTTTGACAGGGATTGCTGCTACAAACTTTTTTGTCAACTGTCTAAAAGAAAGACAAGACCAGAACAATCATGAGATACTTGTAGCTGTAGTCAGCAGCAGTGAAAAGCATCTTTAGATGCAGATGCTTACAAGGATTATGTTCTACTCCTAGGAAATTGGGGGTCTTCCTCCAGACTTTAGAACAATTACATTCTTCAGATCAACTCTCCTGTGTGAAAACAAAAAGTGTTTCCTATCATTGTTGTTGTTAGTTGCCACTGAGTCAATTCTGACTCACGGCCACCCTATTTGTGCAGGGGGTTTCCACAGGGTTTTCAAGGCTGTGACCTTTCAGAAGCAGATCACCAGGCCCATCTCCAGAGGCGCCTCTGGGTGGGTTTGTACCACCAACCTTTGGGCTAGTTGTGAAGTACTTAATGAGCAGTTAATGGTTTGGGCCAGGGGGAAGATTCTCACTCTACTCCTCGGAAGAACATTGTTCAGCTGAGATTTATACGCTAGTGGACAAGAGTAAAGGTTTCAGGCGCAGGAATGATAATGGATGTTCCTATTCAAAGAGAATAAAATGAAAATTCCAGTTGCTTCACTATTATTCTTATCTTTGGTATCTCTGGATAATCATTTGAAATCTGATCATCTTTCACTGCCACCCCTCCTCCCATAGGCTAAGATGACTGAACTCTTTTAACTCCAGGCCTCTTTGAAATGTGGGGGTTTAGATAGGCTCTCCACTCTCCTGCTCACGTGACTGCTTTCAGACCCGAGTCACAAACAGACCTGCCTTTGTCCACACAACTTGGGGAATCTTACCATATGTCTGCTACCAGTCCTAATCTTGTAAGATTTTTAATGCCTTTGGGAACAGAGAAAACTTCTTTACGGAGTACAAGTGATTATACATGGAAAGCTATTGTATTCATTTTATCTAATAATAGTCTAATTCTATGTTTTAAAAAATTAAAATATGTATACATTATTTATTACTTTTTTTTCTTATATTCAGCGACTCACAAAGAAAATCTAGTCTGTTCCTTTTGTTTTACAGATAAAACTACATGTGACAGGACAGCCAACTGATTCAGCACCATTTACTGAAAAGCCCATCCTTTCTTTGTCATAATCTAGTTGACCACACATATGGGGGAAACCCTGGTGGCACAGTGGTTAAGAGTTATGGCTGCTAACCGAAAGGTCGGCAGTTTGAATCCACCAGGGGCTCCTTGGAAACTCTATGGGGCAGTTGTACTCTGTCCTATAGGGTCGCTATGAGTCAGAATCAACTCCACAGCAATGGATTTTATATATGGGGCAGTCTGTTTCTGGGTTCTTTTTGTTCCAATATTCTATTGATCTATCTTTGCCCAACACCACAATTAAAAAAACTCTGTTCATCAAAGAACGCTATCAAGAAAGTTAATCACAAATTCATTACAAGTTTTTGCTGTATTGCTATACAAAAACAGCCAAGAGGAAGACAATAGGGAATGGCAGGGACTGTGGACCACAGAGAGCACTTGTTCAATCCAATGGCATAAAGGTATTCACATTAAAAAATAATTAAAGGACTTCCAGCAAAATGGCACACTAGGCAGAAGCACCACGCCATCCCTCCACAG